AAACTCCTAGCCAAATTTTACCGACAAGTAAGTGAAAATTTCTGTAGTTGGAAAAACGCGAATATTTCAGTAATTAAGCGTTCAAAATGACCGTCGTTAGTCTCAAATTATTCCTGAAGACTTAATGTGTCGATCCAATACTTCAGGACCCTAGAATTAGTAAAATTATTTAGGTCTGGTTTAACAAAGCCCTTTATGAAGCGGCAACCTTAATTGCAAACGATGCGATTACATTTACACCGCTGAACGGGCATCATTTTTCTTCGTCACGCATTGGATTAGATATTCAAGGAACGTAGATTAGTTCTGTCTAGCTACTGGGAACCAAAAATTACAAGAACATTGTTAAAATCACATTTGTTTTAAACGGTTGACACTGTATCTCGCTAGACGTTTCCTGTTTAGTTCACTTTGGACAACGATTACAACGTTATACTGACATCTTTCGTCTTGACCAAGACTTCCATTTATAGCTTAAAGAACATAGATTAATCCCCTGTCATTGATAATAACAATAAACAACCAGAACACTGTTAAAATCGCATTTATTCGTGCAATACCACTATTTTTCGACCGGTGGCGCCATCCGTGGTGAATCGCTGAAACTGCTAGCCATATAATTGGTTAGCAGTTTCACCGATTCGCCACGGATGGCGCCACCGTTCAAAACAATACTGGTACTCCGCGATTAAATGCGATTTTAACAGTGTTCCGGCCGTTTATTGTTATTATCAATAACAGTGGATTAATCTACGTACTTTCAGCTACGAATTGAGTGTTTCAGCTAAACGAAAGCTGTCCGTATAACGGTGTACGAGTTGTTCAAAGTGAACTAACCGGGTTACGCATGACGAGATACAGTGTCAACCGTTGCAAATAAATTGCGATTTTAACAGTGTTCTGGTCGTTTATTGTTATTGCCACTGACAGGAGATTAATCTACGTTCTTTCAGCTACAAGTTGAGGGCTTGGTCAAGACGAATCAGCCGTTATAGGGTACTAATCTACATTCTTTAAACTTCGAATGTAATGCATGACGAAGAAAAGTGTTGTCTGTTTAGTGGTTATGTAATTGCAACAGTTTGCGATCGGATTTACACTGCTAAACGAGCATCAGTTTCCCTCGTCATGGATTACATTCGAAGTTTAAAGAACGCAGATTAGTACTCTTTGGCAGGTGGGAACCAGTAATTACAAGAACATTGTGAAAACCTCAATTGTTTGCAACGGTTGATACTGTATCTCGTCATGCGTACCCTGGTTAGGTCACTTTGGACAGCTCGTACACCGTTATACGGACAGCTTTCGTTTAGCTGAAGCACTCAATTTGTAGCTGAAAGTACGTAAATTAATCCACTGCAATTGATAATAACAATAAACGACCGGAACATTGTTAAAATCGAATTTTAATCGCGGAGTACCACTATTTTTTTCGACTGGTGGCGCCATCCGTGGCGAATCGCTGAAACTGCTAGCCAATTTTACGCTAGCAGTTTCAGCGATTCGCCACG